GTTCGATTGCTTGGCCGATAAAGTGTATAAAACTCTAATTAGGGTTCATGTAAAAATGTGTACCTCTCCCGGAAATGTCAGGCATATCTTGCAGCTTTGGCATCAAGCAAAATAGCTCTATTGTAAAAATGTCACAGTGCTTTACCGAGGTGATATAGCAACGTGGAAGACCTGGGATTCGGCCATCTCCAGAGAAAGATGGAAAAAATGATTTCTAAACTTGTTGAACTTCTTTGGCAAAAGTGGAGGTATTTGGATTAATGGGATCAATATTTTCTTGACTATTTCCGTAGGAAAAAGGGCTAAAATGATCATGTGTTCGTAAACTTTGACAAGTGTTGTTGAAAGTGCAATTCTTAGTTCAACCTGAAAAAAATCACATAGCAGATGTAATGAAATGTTCTAAAACATATAAATCTTATTTTTTTAAGTGTTGAGATAACCAAACAATCTTGATAATGTTGATTTATTTTCAAAAATTATTCAGATAATCGGGAGATATTTTATGGTATGAAATATTTTAGCGTACCTTTTGATAATAAAATTAAAATAATTTTATCAGAGATATTTTCAGAATTTATCAAAAGACATTGGTATTTTTTGTTAGTTATATCTTCAAACTTAGAACAGAACGTATGTATAGGTTCACCATTTATATTCTTGTCTGAAATAGGAAGAGACTTTTTTAAGAGCTGTCATCACGTAGGTTTCTAAACAAACAGGACCTGGGAAAAAGACATGCTGAAAACATCCCCCCTAGCTCACGCCAAGCTCACACTCAACAAACACCTAATAAAACAGCAGATTTATTTCCATTCTTACGCATACAATATTTTTTACACTTTTTTCTCAAATTATCAAAATCTCTGTTTAAGATACCAAAGTTAGAGTTAGCGATGAGATCCACCAAGAAAAACATGAAAAAAAGTTACTGAAGAAAGCCAGTTGAAATAAATCTTTAAACTATCACAGTGATCGCAAAGCAGACATTTACCCTTGTCAATCAGGAAATTTATACTATAAAGAACTACTCAGAATGTATTTCTTATCATGATGACAAAAAGGCTGCAATTTCAGGAATGCAATGTTCATTTCACCTGCGCTCTGTCAATCAGGCTTCAAGATGGCCATATCTTATGCAACCGACGCCTGGTCTTTATAAACATATCTAACAACAATAAAATCACGTTCTTGTGAAACCAGAACCCCTCTTATCCAAGACTCAAGACCCCAGAAACCTCACCCCTTTTATCACAAGTAGGCGTAGACTGGGCTAGGCCATTTTGTTATGTATTATAGGACGAGATGTGGCATGATATATGGCAATTTACGAGGCTAGAATATTAGCTATTGAAAAATATGATGACAATCCCATTCGTGTTTCTCAAAGGGTCAGGAAGCTAAAAGCATGCTATTGGGTACTTTTAAGTGCTGATAGATTATTTCCCATCTGAACCTGTCTCATCCTTAATCAAGTACAAGAGCGGTTCTTAATCATTATGTAAATTGTAGTATCATTTCTTATTTGTGTTCAATATTGGCATTGTTTGTGCTGCGTTGTTAAAATGTGTTAAACACTTTTGAATTGATATGTCCTTTACATTATAAAATTATTCACAATGGAAAAAGAGGGTGTAATTGTATCTCCCTGTTATTCATGGTATCAGCGGTACTGGTAACAATCTAAATGGAAAATAGCAAGACATTTTGATCTTTCTTTGCAAATTTCTCTTTGTTAGCAGTTTTCAAACTTTTATCAAAATGTCAGCTGTAAGTAAAAAAATACAATACATCAAATATATTTTTCATGTTTCACAGAAGTTTCTGGAGAGTTGAATATTAATTTAATTTATTCAATTTCCTCTCAGGGTTGATATATACAATTCCGCTTTTGATAGAGATATTTCTATTTCTCAATGATAAACAAAACTGATTCTCATACGTCAAGTGTATATTTAAACAGAATGACATCTGATTATCCCGTTGAGTTGAGTAGTATTTTGGCTTCCTGTATAAATATTAAGAAAAGACTGTGTGGGCTATTTTAACTTATATTAATAAAAACAATCACAATTTTTAAAATCTAACTTATTTCTGTACGCAGGCAAAACATGCCTGCATTATGGTGATGATACTGATAGTGGTGAGGACGCTATCATCCTTGCTGTTATTAACTCTTTAACACTTGACCACACCATAACCAGGCATGGCTACTGACCACATATCACAAGAGGTAGACATGTGGCAGAAATCAACATCAAAGTGACATGGTCAGATTTCTGATCAAGTGTCAATCAGGATTCTCTAGGCTGGTCTGATGTCCCCTCCCCTCCCCTCCCCACCCCCCTCACATCCTCTACCAGTACCACATAACCTACATCAAGTTCATATCACAGTATGCAATATTAGTGAAACACTTTGAAAATGCAAATTTGATATTACCTGTTGATAAGTAACAAGTGACTGGTAGCTTATGGCTAGGTATGACAACCTGTATGAGGATTCAAACTCAGACAACATTATTGCTATGTTGCATGCTTCCAGACCTAAATACCACATACTAATTTCTTTGTTCTTTGCTGAAAATTATTTCCCAAATTCCACTTCACATTTTCACAGTGTCTCAGTACCCATGGGTAAATGGGGAGGGCATATAATTTTGATATCAATAAAAGCACCAAAAACATTTATATCTCAAAACACATCATGATATTTTATAATAGATGAAATATAGGTTAATTTACCATTGAGTACCTACCACCACGTGACCCTACACCTACACGTGCTCCCCACCCCAACGACATTACATCACTCCTAATATCCTAAGTACATCCTAACACGACCCCCTCTCAAGGCTGCCTGTCTCCCTCCCGAGTTGAAAAGTCAACCATGTTCGTCTAGCGGGCGGTCACTCGCGACATCCTTATCGGAGTCGGGTCAGCTGTTTACTTGACACGTTGAGACAGTGAAAGGGGTCTCGCTTGTCTCGTGGCTCGTGGCCAATATAATTTCAGTTTATTTTTCTGTCTTGAGGGTAAATAAACATTATGTCTCTTTGACAATTAAGATGGCGAATGTTTCGACCTCTCCAGCGCACGGCTTAGCGATCTTTGTGAAATTGTGGTAGATTAAACAATGGAAACGTAAATTACCTGGCCAGTGAAATAGGCATGAGTTGTTGTCTATTTCTAGACTGGTGTGAGAAACAAGTCATTGGTGTAGCTTAGCTCTATAACAGTGACTTCGCTCAGTCCTAACTGTCTTGACGAACGTAAATATCAACCCACAATAATGCCGACTGATACTGACAATATTGACTAAGTATTTATTCAAACCCTGTCGTAACGCATTACACAAGTGAATTCGCCTAAGTACCTAAAAATTGGACAGTGTTACACTAATTACATGTATTCAAATACACAGTCCCTTTAATAAACCACAATGTGTAACCCATTGCGCATCGCAATCACGGCGTGTAAGAAACACCACGATAGATCTACCTGTAAAATACTCGAAACACCCCAAAAAGAGCAGAGAAAACGATGTTAATGGATCACAGAAACTATCGGAATTAATCCCTACCAAACACCTCCAAACCATCGCAAATAGCCAACGTTGTCAATTTCATGTTAATCGTTGCGTATGTCATGTAGATTTCACTCGCCACTACAATAGTCGGCGTTCGCAACGCGCTGTCGCAGTAATCCCAAGCCTGCTTGCTGTCCTTGCGTCGAGCAGTCGCAGTCGTGCCAATCTCATCTCTATTGATTTTACAACTTTTTACTCCTTTAGGCTAAATAAATGTTTACATTCAGCAACAATCCTAAGACCACACGAACTGATGGTAAAACTGATATATAACGACGATTTAATATTAACCCGCTATGTCCTTTTGACCGGTGTCTCGTCAAGTTGACTAATTGAATCCGTACATATCTACAGACGTCAGTCGTCAAAACTCAAATGCGATTATGCAGTAAAGGTTTGCTAATATCGCCCTAACACAATGAAGTGAAATAAAAACCACGACGATACATCGTTATAAAGTAAGTTGATTTAATTATCATAAATCAATATTTGCCGGAATTGCTTCTGGTTATACGAAATGGCAACAGTTGTCAAACGAATTTCGTCAAATATGTGACAGAAAGTAATTATAAACGATAGCTGCTTATATCAAGCGTATAGCCCATGCAGAAACTAAATGCGTTAGTTAACAGGTCAGGCAAGTTTTCAATATAGTGAAATCTACACCGTTTGGCGTATCCGTGAAACATCCGTATAGAGTCAGGCGTGAGTACGAAATGGATTAATATCGATTCATATTGCAACTTTGATCCGATTAAAGGTATGTATTTCATTCCATCAATGAAAATTACATCACGGTCGAACGTTTTCCCGACAAAATGGTATCAAATTCAGACGATACCTTAACTGGCGACAGTCAAAAGTCGCGGAAAAAACACAATAACCGAAATTCGTGTCCCCGTCTTCCGTTCAGGACCTACCACGCACGTATTATTGACTAAATTCCAAATTTGACAATTGTATGACAACTTAGAAAACCGATGAATCCAATAGGGAATAGATTTACAACCTATCCCAACCTTTTTGACACAGGGTTATGGCTGTTTGAATATTCTGGCAACTTATGATCGGACGGCACGCACACTGGTCGTTGTAGGTGTGAAATAAAGATCTTGGTAAAATGCATGTATGGATAACTTGTAACTGGCGGTATTTTATGAGACGAAAAAAACCATCTGTTACCATGGTTAAGATGCACGAGCTTAGCGCGTGCGAAATCTGACCATTTGTCTACGGAAATAATTCATATATACTCTGTTCAACAACTGTCGAAACTTGTCAACATTTCAGCCACGCGAATCTCGCCAGGCTTGAATGGCAGAGCCACTCGCTGCTCACATATATCTGTGGGAACAATAAGAGGCGATAGCGAGTGGTTATGATGATGGAGTAAAATAGGAAAAAATACTTACATTGGATTGGTGTGGTTCCAGTGAACTGTATAAATCGCGGCATTGACGACCCGATCAGGCAGCAAGGAATATATCCATATCAGAAGTACTGTAAACACCATATTCCACGACATTGTGAATTGTGGTCCCCGATTCCTTTAAACTACTTATCCAACTTGATACTTCTTTAAAAAGTCGTTCACAAGTATATCATACAGAGAGATGTCATCGACTCAACGCTGGACTTCCGAGAAGTAGGCCTACCCGGTCGAAATCTACCATTAGCAGCTAACTCGCGGCTCTCAGTTAACCCACGAGCGTGCGATAACAACAGTGTCAGGCTTGGAGGGGAGGGGAGGTAACTCTTGTACGGTCAGGTGTAGCGATGGAAATAGACAGAAGCTACCGGTGACAGCGTTGAGCGTTGTCACTGGAAATAAACTTCGAGATCAGATCGGGAGGAGTTTAGAGATGTCGATCTTATTTCACCAGGAATCGTCTCTGCACATTTGAACTTCTTAGGTAATTACGTACTTAAAGCGACTTTGTAATGAGATATTTCCTTTGCTTTTTCAAGATGCATTTTCCGTCCAACACAATTGCTAGTGGTGTTAGACCCTGTTTTATTGGTTTATAATCGGGGAATTACACTAAGGATAGTTTGTAAATATCACTCCTAGATTTAAATGCCAATCATATTACGATAACACTGGTTTCACTGCGTGGGCAGTTTTAAGACCATCAGCTACGGTGATATATGACCGACATATTTCATAAGTTGTCTCTTCGACTTGGCTGATAGTGTCATATATTGGAGACAGCGATATTCATTATCTAATCATAATTTGTCACCGATTACCCTATCAATCTTTTGTACTTTCCACGCACATAGTGTGAGATTGTTTTTTTAACAAATCGTTATCAGCGGAAATACCTTACCAAATTATCATTATGTAAAACAATATATCAACTCTTTAACTTATGCATTTATATTTTCAAAATCATTTGTATTTGCATATAGTCGCTGTTTTAAGAAGGTATTCGTTTATCTATACATTCTTTGCAATACTGTGTAGTGTTTCCTACCTTTTTATTCGATTTCAATTTATTTTTTACCTTTCCCTTAAATAGGTTTTACTCCATGATCATTTGTTTTACCGTAGTTTGTTATATTTTCAAAAAGGTCGATGGTTTTGCTGCTATTTTCATGTCCTGTCATTTAACCTTTAACAAAAAGCAATTCCCTCATGTAATTTGCATTTTTAAATATTTCAAATCAGTTTAAATTAAATTCCCCAAACATTCAATCGTATTTTTCAGGTGAAAGAATATTTCCATTCAATGTTTGACATTATGCGACACAGATTTTCTTTTATTTTAATGTTAAAAACATGACTATTAATATAGCGGGTATTGCTATTTCTGTATTTAGGTATATTCATGCCAGAGTATTTCATCATTCCGGAATTGTTGATTAACCAAGTTAGTGATATACTTTATCAGTTTATTTCGTTACAATTATATTCGGACGCAATTTTCCGCTTCGATACCACTCCCGTAACCTTGTTTTGAATTGTCGACGCTGTAATGATTCATAATTCAAAAATCCAAACATAATGCAGCGGGAAACTGAATCATGTTGAAATACACGTGAGTAAATTAAATACTGAAATTGCGATCTAAATTTGTAGGAATATCATTTATAGTTAATATAATGTCGGTGTCCAATGTGTGGAACACGAGAATGGACGAACAAATAATCGTTTGGAAAATGAAAGAAAAATATTACTAATGATAGTAAATGGATGTTAGGCACGTTCATTATCTTTTTATGGATGACAGGTATATATTAAATTATTTTACTGTCGGATATGAAACAAAAGTATTTATAATTATATTTTTGAGCAATGTCTATCCGGGCATTGTAAAATATATATCCAGCATGTTTCATTAATATAGTTTCATCGTTATAGAGTTTCAATGATATAGACTTTCATTGATTCAATGATATAAGTTTTCATTGATATCCCCAGGACACAATTCATCCTCACGTTGAGTAGAAGGTGACCGCTTATATACAATGCTGTAACGTCGATCAAATATTGATAACGACCATTGGACATGACGTGTATTTACATAATATACCAACTATTGTTCATCAAAATTTTGTTAAGCTGGTCAAATCTACCTAAGATCAAGCGCGTATAGGAATTCGACAGCTTCACTAATTGATTATAGTAGCTGTAAAAAACACACACGCATTATGAGCAATTTGCCCAAAGACTCTTAAATGATTAATACTTGACGGACGGGGCCACGAAATCCCCTTTGTCCCAGATTTCATTACCATGGTGACCTAATCTCCCCGCGTGGGGCGTTATCTCTTCATATTAGGGCATAATCGCCCTAGTCTAATTAAGTAATCGCTAACAAATCGCCATATTGCTTCGTGGACGGTATTCGATTATTGAACTGTCGAGGCGCGAGGCGATGACGTCATAAGTTGGTCGTGCTGTACTGAGGGAGCGGAGGCACTCCCGAAAGTCGGATCGAATAATAATAGTATTTCAAATTTATTAAAACGGTAATATTATTTATGAAATATAATTAAACGAAAATGTTATAAACTAGTCATTGTCAAAGTAATGTAATTCGTTTGAATACTCATAACAAACTGTCCAGTCATCTCATGACCAAGTTCGTTTACAGGAATTGATAAAGATCTATTAACAGGCAATCTGTCACCATGATTACAAACTTTATTAACTAAAATATACCACCGGATGAGTTAATTGTTTAGGTGTAGTCTTGATGAACGTTTGGGATTCTTAATCACAAGAACGGGCGAAAAGGGTCGCTCGACGGTGTATTTCCTCCGTGAACGGTAAATTTATGACCACGAGTATTGTCATCCAACGTTTTCAGAGATTTCACAAATGCAATCTTTTTGGTTTGCTATGATGTCAAACTCTAGCTATCAGTACACGTCCGTGTCTGTAATATTTATCAGTAAACGAAGATAGACAATCAAGCCCTACCACAGATAGCATGTTTACTTGATCGCCAACACGCACTTATTGACATCGATAACAACAGGACATTAATCAGCAAGTTAATATTTTTTTGCCGATAAGAAGCATGCGCCAGAGTACGCTCTGATTATGAATATTTCATTCACACGTCTGATTAGAAAGTTTGTCCCATCCTCGGGACTCAAGGGAAATAGAAGCACCTTATATACCCTGGACGTTAAGCATTACATCAGATAGGATCCGAGGTATTTAGTCAATTGTAATAATGACTTTATTAACTCCTGTTATTGCTTTTTTTCTTCTGAATGTTACAGCTGATTTTCTTCCCGCATCCTCATCGATCACAGCGGCACATACAGACACATATGCTGTACCGTTCGGCATACAATGAAATGCAACCAAACTTTGCATGCCAAAGTCGCCTTATTGTTTTACATTTTACATAGATACTTTTATCACCTCGCCCTAGTCAAATCTAAAATGTGAGTTATCTTGTACGTAACACAAAAAGTTGTCGAGATATGACTATCATAATCAATAAATAGACAATCGCGAACGCTGCGTCAAGGATGGGCAGTTAAGTGAACAGCAGTCAGGTCACGGGTCGGGAGTACTCTGAACACGATCGGCCTTTTCCGCTGCAGTTGCGGAAAGGGGCGAGGTTGGCCGATTAGGATCGGGAGATCAGAAGATTTGTTGGGAGGAATAATTAAGAGATGAGATGGTGTGTTGTAATTGTTTGGACTGGTAGAATTTTTTTATCATTCAAATACTACTCAAAAGAAGTATAGGATCACCCGATTCTTTCATATTACTTAAGTAAATCTGTCATAACGTTCGTGATTGTCTGTGTTTCTTAAAGATAGTCAGGGGGCACGGGTGGCCCAGTCGTCTAAGGCGCCGCGATTCGCTGTGCAGAGTTACGTCCCCTGGACACCCCAGACACCTATGATTGTGGGTTCGAATCCCGGTTCACCCCGAATATGTTTTTCTAGGTTTGTCAGCACCATACCCGTGCTCGTGGGTTTCACTGATGTGGTAAACGTCTGAGACCTGCATCACTTCGGGCTTTCCTCCCACATTAAGCTGACACGCCGTGATATAACTGGAATAATGTTAAACGCGGCGTTAAACCCAACTGACTCACTCACTCACTCACTTAAAGATAGTCATATAGACGCATAGCAAAATATTACATTTTATATCTGACGTGGGTGAGTTTCTTAATATATCTATGCATAAATCTATACCACATGGCGACAAGTTAGCATGTAAAATAAGATAGTCGTCACATCATCTATGAACTGATATGATTATTTATCATATAATGGGCAGGTTTCTCGGCAGGATAAAGCCAACGGATAAAAACGATATCCGTTGGGGTCATATGCGGATAGAGATGCAAATATCAAAGGTCAAGTAGGACTACTTTCACTGTTTATAAACAAACATGGCGTCGTCCTCGTCATTCGGCGATCGAGTCAAAATTAACAATCGGGAATCTGGATAAACAACAGGGATAATTGCTATCATTATCAAAAGAACAGTCTAATATACTGAAAATCAGTGTCTAACTGTGACGTAGCTAAGGCATTTTATAAATTTTGGCTACGTTGGAGGTATAAATTTCGAAACAATTTTGCGAGGGCGCGAGGCCTAGCCAAGCGGGATCCGTAGCAATATCTGTGCTTGTAGACCTCTGCGACTTGAAACCTTCTCCACAAACCAAAATGGTTGGATTTGGCAGAAATATGTTTGAATTGTTACCCTGTTTGGTTTTGTCTGACCGTGTCCGTGACGTCTCATAGACTAGGGTTAGAGTAGCTTCCCTTTGACAAAGGGCAGTTACTCTAGCGGACAGACCGATGGATTGCCGCGAAAGGCAATTAAAAACAACTGTTGTTTTGCGTATATGTTGCTTTGCCACTGTATAAGAAACAGATTTCAGTTGGAACTATATTGGCTACTGTCACTGTCCGACTGACACATCACTTACCCTGTGACGTAATAAATATTAATGCGCGCATTCCAGGAAAACTCGCAATGTTTCGGTAATGTTTGTGAGAGAGGGATAGCGATTTTAAAGCACAGAATTAAAGCATGACATTATATGATAAAGAGGTTATCACGCTTGTGTGTTTGGGGATGGTAAATATCCTGTATTAGGAATAAACACTATGTATTTAGCTCGCCAAGGCTCGCTAAATACAATGTTTATTCCTAATGCAGGATATTTACCATCCCCAAACACAGTCGCGTGATAACCTCTATATACAGAACTAGGGCAGAACAATATTCTACATATGTATTTTTTGTTTGTTGAAGAATTTGGTGGCATTTACATGTTTTGAATAAAAGTGAGTG